AACATGCTTTTCGATCCTTCCTGCACATTCTTTTCAAACTAAACTTTGCTTTAAACTGTTGTGTGCTTGGAAAAATATAAATTGTAATGTTAAAAATCTAAAAAAAAAAACTTGACAGGTTAAAAACTTAAGATAAATCACAAGATAGAAGTCAATGTCGCAAATTAATAACTTATTTTAGAGTCACAGTATGTTTATACAAGATAATACTATTAATATAATGTGACTTTTCTAGAGAATCATTATACATAGTTATTTTATACAGGGTTTCCACATCCTTACATAATTTCAGAATTCCCTGACTTTTAACTGATTCAGGATTAGTTTTCGCTGACAAAATAAATGCAGCAACAAGACAATAATAACATAACAGGTCACCTATTTAACATGTTTAGCTCTATAACATTTAAATGCACCTCTCCAATGTCTGAGAGAAAAAAAATTAATGAACATTTTTTAATGTATGACCACTGTACAGAAGACTGCCATATGATAGCGCTTTCTAGCTTGTTTGTCGTTTTGGTAAATACATCAAAATTACCGCTAGGTGGACAAAAATCACGCCATCTGGCGGAAAATCTTGCGGCTTCTTCAAATCACGCCAGAATGTGTACAAAACAACAAAAATGGTGCCGGCTGGGTTGTTTTCAGCTAATGTCGGTGATTTTAAAGTAATTTTGAGTGATAAATAATTTTTTTTGCGATCACTGCACTTGCCCGGCGAGCAAATGCAATGAAATTTGTACTCTCTCAACAATAAAAAGTACTTACCCCGGGTGATCAGGCAATGGTTAACATCGAGCCCTGCTGTTTGTTTAATCTCTAACGTTATGCTGTCTCTGCCTTTTCTCATAATAGCTTCATTTGTTCCTGTTTGACTGTGACACCATCCTGCCATCAACACCTTTGTTTATAGATGTTGGAGATTGGCCTGTTTTTCCAGTGTAGTCCTGTTTCTCTGACTGTGGCTGGCTGGATGTGCTTCTCTTCGTCCTCTGGCATGGGAGTTGGCTTCGGGGCCACCTTTTGCAGCTGCTTTTTGTATCTCTGCTTCTGTCTCCTTGAACCCCAGTCGGCCTCAGCAGATGGCCGCTCACACTGAGCCTGGTTCTGCTGGAGGTTTCTTCCTGTTAAAAGGGAGTTTTTCCTCTCCACTGTCGCTACAAGCATGCTTAGTGTGAGAGATTGCATCGATGCAATCAGCTGGTTTTCCTTAGATAGAAATCTTTGAATCACTTTGACTGTATGATCTGGTGAACTGTAAAGTGCCTTGAGATGACATGTGTTGTGAATTGGCGCTATATAGGTAAACTGAATTAAATTTTTACATTTCTAAGACTTCATTAAGCTTCCAGCAAAATCTGACTGTATTTTTGACTTATTTCATAAATCTTTTAGTGGTTTCTGGGTACAGAGCTTTCTTTATAACATTTTCAAAAGATAATCTTAAATGGTTGGTTGAAAAGCGAGATATTCTGTCCATCAAGGTGACTTGGATCATTGACTGGTTAGAACATCCACTTTAGTCAAAATTTCTACCACCATAAAGAATATGAGGGCATTAGGCCCGCCAACATGGACAGACCACTTCCACTATAAAGTTGGAATTACTTAAAGGACTCCGTAGTCCTAGACGCTTGTTGAAGGCTGCCATCGTACGTGGATGCCGATCCAAATATGAGAGGGATGTATGCAAATATCTGAAGCTAAGATAGTTTTTTAATTTGAAATTATCCACAATACAACACTTTGTATAATACATGCTGTCTTTAAAATAATTCAAATTCTGTTCTGCATGTGAGTAAATTAAAAGTTCAGATATGTCATTAAAGCATTTTGACACACATCCTTTATATGATCCTTCCTAAAAACGTCACAGCAGGTATTCATGAGGCAGACAGACAAAGGAACAGGCACCACTCTTCCCTTTCATAGTTGCAGCGGTATGTTAGTGGAACTTCTCCAGTATCTTCTGCTGAGTCGCACTTTAAATGTGAAGCTCATGACTCAGTTCTCACTCCTCCCTGTAGTTACATTTTCTGGTTGGAAACTTTCAAAAACACCGCTGTTGAATTTTATGACAGCTTTTTTTGTATGCATGATATTTAAATAAATCTTCCACTTGGCTAATGTGAAGTTCTGTCATAGCTTGGGTAGCTTTCAGGAAATGGACTTGACAACTCGAATAGTTGGGTAATGTCCACTCACTTACCTAACTGCAGTTTAGGGCCCATACTTCCTACTTTTTACTTTTCATTTTGTTCTTCCTCCGAGTAGGAAGTTGGTAAAGGCAGCTTTTTGACTTTTAAACCAAACTCATCTCTGCTCATTATTTGCAGCACTTGTTTGTAAGAATTAATCTGCATAATAAATTTAATCTGAGTCCTGGCAGGTTTTGTATTTCTAATGTTTTTCTGTATAATTCATATTTGAACAGATCAGATCAGTGGGTCTTTAACTGTGTTCATCTGTTTTGACTTTGTGAACTTTGTTCTGATGGAGACCCAGCTTTCATACATATTTGAGCTGACTGTATTCTCTTCAAAAGATCTCTCCATCTGTCTGTTGTTGCCACTGTAAGAAAAACACGCTTGCAGAATCGCAGAGAGCCGCAGGGCGCACTGACCCCTTGGTACTTAATGATAAGGCGCATCCCGTGGGAACAAACACATTTTTATCTCTTGTAAAATGGCCATGTTGTACCACGCCACTGTTGGCCTTTTTTCAGATGACTTTCATAAAGGAGACTTGTCACATATGGCTGTTTTCTAACCAATATTTGGAAATATTTTTTTTTTCTTTTTAACATATGTTGTTCAGATTGGGAGAGCAGTACTACAGAGATGCCTTGGAGCAGTGTCACAACTACAACGCTCGGCTGTGTGCAGAGAGGAGCGTCCGAATGCCGTTCCTGGACTCCCAGACTGGTGTGGCTCAGAGCAACTGCTACATCTGGATGGAGAAGAGGCACAGAGGACCAGGTAGTACTCCAGAGTTGCTCCCTGAAAAGTAAACTTCAGAGAAGTTAAAGTTCAAGAGGATTTAGGTAGAGTGGTCTGTAGACAGAATGGTACCGAATGAACTTTTCCACCTTTTAGTCATTTAACAAAATCAAACCAGTGTTTCTCAGTTTTATTCATGATTCACTTGATTATTTTTGATTCAAATGATAAATCAACAGAAAGTACAGCACTGTTAAAAATTGGAAGGAAAATGAAGGTTGAATAAAAAAAAAAATCTCTATATATTTATAAATCTGATAGGTATTAAGCTTCCTTTCCTCTGATTTTCCTGAATAAGTTCAGTAGTTTTGAATTAAGGGCTGCGTATATAAGGCCCTATAAAATCCGTTTTATTTTTTCCTAAATTCCGTTTTTTTTTTCCCAAATTCCGTTTTTTCCGTTTAAATTTTTGAAAATTCCTTTTTTTTTTTTCGTTTTATGTATGTATTTTTGCGCTTCCAATCAATGAAATGTTGACAAAACTTGCAAAACAATAGTTCACCTGACACGTAAAAGTCACGAGGGAACTGCTCGGCTCTGTACTCAGGGCTTAGCGTCGTGTTTCTCAACTCTATCGCCGAAAGCTGAGCTGTGGAGAGCTGCTTCGCCATTTTTTTATTAATGTGGGGAGGGTGAGCGGAAATGACGGAGCGGGAGGGGTTGTGTCGCCCAGATTTGTGTCCCCCGGTGTGTGTTTCCCCCCCGACGTACGTTCTTCTCCCACACAAAAACAGAATTTCATTTCAAATGTAGAAATTCCGCGCTTACACTAGATACCGCGTTTATTTGCCAATTCTGCGATGCCGTCCGCGATTCCGTGATCGCGGAAATTATAGGGCCCTACGTATACTCCTGCAGCAGTGTGTCACAGTTAGTTTTCTGCAGGTATGGCGCAGATATTTTTGATTTATGCACAATTTAGAAGCCACATTGCAACACAAGAGGGACAATCTCAAACTAGCTAGGATTGTGGGTGTGATGGGTGGCGTGTTTCTCTTCCGGTTACTGAGGTCATTCAACAACAATGGCGACTGGACCAATGCGCACTTTGACTGAGATGCAGCTGATCAATCTAGAAATGGATTCACTTCACTTCAGACTCGCTCTTCTAGCTGGAGGAAATATGCATAGTGTAGAGCGGATGTAGAATTGACCAATCAGATGCCTCCTTTCTCTCCTCCCTGCAACGCTGTCTGCGGCACTGTCTGCAGCCACCTACAATTTTGGGGAGATGCACCACAGTGTCCGTGTAAGGTGGGGGGGAACATATCTGCATTAACTTCGACACACATGCAGACGACCTGTTATCTGAGCATAAAGCAGGTTTGACAGTCCAGCTGTGTGTAATCTAATCTCCGTGTGAATCCAGCTGTTCTCTAAAGCCCTCTGGGGTTTGATTAGAGCAGGGGTTCTTATGGCGGGGGGTCAAAGATGCTTTTTTTTTTTCTCCGTCCCGTACAGTTTGTAGTGACTTTCATGATCTGTTTAGGTTCTTATTTTTGGCAAAGCTCTTTAAAAGCACCTTAATGTCACCGCTTTACATCAACAAAAAATGATCTTACTGATGTTTTTAGCAGGTTAATCAAGGATTTTAGCTGTTGTAGCTGAAATGTTGTGAAATCAGCTGAGCTTAATGCAGACACCTGTTCACTTGTCATCCCCTCACCATCATCACTGATTGGCTACTGCTGATCCAGACTCTGTACTAAACAGCCTCTTAAATAGCTGAGAGCATCACACTTCGTTTGTGCTCTGCTACCTAGATAAGAGATCATATGAAGCATTATTTTCTCATTTATCATTATTGGATGTTAAAATAGTCATATGTTGGAGGGGATGTGACTTTTTTTAGCTGCAGCTCTAATAAAGACAGATTAACGCTGTAGACAGGCTGCAGGAAAAACGGGTTGTACAGTTAATGAGTGATGGATCCATCATGATGCCAAAAGTCCTGTGCTGCTTTGATCTGTCGCATCAAATTCTTGAGGTTTGTGGTTTTAATGTGAGCGAACACAAAAATAACTTCCGCAGATGTAAAAACAGACTTGGTGGGAGACGGCGACTCTATATTGTTACCAGATTTCTTTTTTTTCTTTTCTTTAAAGGCTGCAAATAGACTAAATTAAATTATCCAAACAGACCAAATATTTGTCCTTCCTTTCCAAAGGAAACTCCTGCAGAGTCATTTATCCATCAGCTGTAAAAGATCCACCAGGAGAAAACTGAAGCCTCATCATGGCTTAATTCTCCGCTGTCATTGATCTGAGCTCTTCTGCTCCTCAGGCGTGGCCCCGGGGCAGCTGTACACGTACCCGGCCAGGAGGTGGAGGAAGAAACGGAGATCTCATCCTCCGGAGGACCCGCGACTCATCTTCCCCCCCGTCAAGTCAGGTACCAAAGAAATGCGTTATGTTGGCTCTCTGTTTAAAAAAACGCCCGGGTTCAGGATGAAATTCACTTGTTTATCTGATTAAAGCACTTTGTGTTTCATTTATTCTTTAATCCGTTTGCATTCAGAGCTAGATTTAGGGCTGAAGAAGGACGCCCTGCTGTCCACGGACGGCAGCAGCTTGGAGGCCCTGCTGAAGGGTGAGCCTCTCGACAAACGGACGGCCGCTGACGTCCGTGGGTCGGAGGAAGACTCGAATCAGAGCGACTACACCGGAAGCCTGAACCCAGCAGCCCGGATTAGAAAGGTTTTTGTTTTCGTAGTTTGGAAGTGGGACGTTAACCGAGATGTTCAAACTGGACTTCACGCTCACTCTCTCTCTATTTAACTCTATCCCACCTCTTCTGACACAGAGAATCCTCGAGCCAGATGACTTCCTGGATGACCTGGATGATGAAGACTATGAGGAAGACACGCCTAAGAGGAGAGGCAAAGGGAAAGGAAAGGTAAAGCAGTAACTGAATGGTGTTTGTGTTGATCCCGGCCTGTGGATTGACTTATGGGTGGGCAATATATGGAATACACTCAATATATAATATGTGATTTGGTCTTGTTTTGAGGTTTGGCAGGCATTTTCTAAACTTGGCAATGTTCTCAGTGATTCTTAATATTCAAAGCACGTAATGATCAATGCAAATAGTTTTGTGATGCTCTAATTTTTGGACAGTATTTCCACTTTTGTTTTTGTAATTTGAGGTCAGTTTCTTGTTTTTGTTTATTCTGCAATTCTTTTAAATTATGCACAAAAGATGCCTTTTTTATATTAACATTTTATTTAGTATTGTGTGTTTTTGCTTTGTTTCCTGTTTGGTTGCTGGGATCTTGTTATTGGGTCTGTCATGCCAACTGACAAAAAGCACAATGAAAACATAAAAAAAAACTCTTTCATTCACTTCCATAAACAAAACAAATCTTCAGGCGTACCTGCAGGGTGCAATCAATCATTTGCATTTTGCAACATCACCAGCAAAGCATTCCAACAGACTTCCTGTCAAGGGAGGAACTTCCTGTTAAAAGGCCATCTTGAACACCAGTTCAATACATGCTGTGGACAAAGGAGGAAAGTTTGTTGGGAGCAAAAGTTTGAAGAAATAGGAGATTTGACTTTCTTGAATGACTCACCTGTTGTTGTGAAAGTGAAAAGGATGAAATTCTGCTTAACAATGTGCTCCACATGTGCACATGTAAAATGTTTGTGTCAGTTTGCATCTGACTTAGTTTATTTTAATGTTAATGGTTTTCAGTTAATTATTTTCACTTAATTTGTTTGCCTAGTTTAAAGTCTGAAGTTTATGTTAAGCTTGATGACACAGCATATTGTTTAAATTAGTGACTCAAACCAGTCCCGTTGTTTGGAACAGCAACCCTGATGGCTTTATTGGACTTATGCTTTGTTTGACACTCCACTATTTGCATATCTTATTTAAGTGAAATGTTAAACAGGATATATTTATGTGAGATTAATGCTAAAACCTAAAGGTTTATTGGCACTTATGCTGACTTACTGCTAAGGCATTTTTAGTTTGGTTGCATTCAAAGTTAGTTGTAATTACTAATGAAATTAGTATGTACTTTATGGATCTTTATTTTTACATTTAATGATTTGTGTTTGTTTAAACTTGAAATAACGCAATATCTCTTCTGTTCAAGGTTTTAAGCCTAAATGACTGAATGACCCCTTCACTAATCAAATCAAGAAAAAAAAATTTCAATAAAAAACAAAAAGGGGAAATCCTTGTTCTGAGTTGTTCCTTGCTAACTGGGCTCTTTCAAGTGGAGCATTACTGAGGGAAAAAAAATCACAACAAAAACTTGACAGGGTCTCATGCACCGAAAGACATAATATGACAGGATTATTAGTGTAAAGCTTGGAGCAGGTTAAAATGAAATGTTTTAAATTGGAAACCAAAATATTTGCATGTTAGTTCTAATTAGTATATCATATATTTTTAAGGTATTTTAAACCTATGCTGGTATATAATGTGTATCGCGATTAGGGCTGGGCGATATAGAAAAAAAGCTTATCGATTAAAAAAAAATGATCGATATCGATAATTATTGAAAAGATTTGAAACCATATTTTATGTGTAGCTCTGCCTGGACATTTTATGATATTGCTAAATGATTTAATTTTAATAAAGAACACAAAAGCAGACTTCGAATTAAATCTTTATTTAACCAACTTTTTTAACCATAACAGAATTGTTTTAAAGAAAAATAACTTAAAAGACCTGAGTTATGTTATTAAATACTGACAAAGAATAAACTAAAGTGACCAGAAAAGTGACCAAAATAAATCTAACAAATAAATAAATGGATGTTGTGGTTTGAGAGGGCGGCGCTTGGTGACGGCGTGCCTGGGTTCGCGATTGTGATTGGTTGGGAGGAAGCAGTGATTAGCATAAACCTACATGCTAGGCTACAATGAGAAGGAAGGAAAACTGCGTTTCTTTATCAAACTTTTATCGACGCTCTTTTTTTCTATTGCGCCACACGTCTATCGATCGATATATATCGTTATTGAATTATCGCCCAGCCCTAATCGCGATTATAGCCCAAATGTATCACGATATTAGATTTTTCTCATATCTCCCAGCTGTAGAATGACTCCATTCTTGTCCACAGGGTCGAGGAGTGGGCAGCGGCAGGAAGAAACTGGACACCGCTGCTATGGAGGACAGAGACAAGCCCTACGCCTGCGACAGTGAGTCCTCCTGCCACATTATCACATTAACATTACTTCAAACAAGAGCTCACCTCTCTTTCTATTTACAATATTCTGTCTTCCATCTTTGTTGGACATCTTAAATCGGACTTTGAAGCTAAAGTTCTGCTGCTTCCTTTTGCAATATGATTGTTTCCTCCTCCTGTTTGCTGACTTCTGATTGAGAATCTGTACCTCCTTGAACTTTTTTTTGTCTTTCCACTGTTATTAAAGCAGTTTCGCTTACATTGCTGACGGATTCTGTAGCTTCTGTCTGTGGCTTCCTCTGATCCTCTTCTCTCTTCCAGACCCTATCAAACAAAAGCACATTTCAAAACCTTCTGAAAGAGGTAGATTTCTCTTCATCTCTTCTCTCTTTCGTTGTCTCTGTTACTGAGTACATTTATGTGATTGTGTGTGCTCCCACTTATCTCATGTCTCCTTTTTTTGTTTTGTTTAAATGAACGTTTCTTTTGCTTTTAAGAAAGACAAATTCAGTATTTTTGAGAAAAATAAAGGACAAACGTAGGTCGTTATTTTGCATGTGTTCAGCTTTAATGAACTTGATTTGAAGGTTTTAGTAGAAAATAATCTACATTTTCCTCCTAAGCTCTCTGCTTATGCATGTTTTACTTTTTGTTCATGTCCTCTTCTCTCATTTCTCATTATTCTTTTTTTTTTTTTTTTCTAAATGCCTTTGCTTTGATATGGGGTCAGTTTGATGTCTGCATGACCTTTTCAGTCTGCCCCCCTCCCCCACAGTCACATGGTTGGAGGTGCTTATTTAGACTCGTTTTACTTGACAGATGATAAAATGCGGCTGGTTAGCGCTGCTAGGAAATGAAAACCACAGCTTGGTGTGGCAGTGAAAGAAGAAGTATAAATTTATCTTGTGACAAACATGACACAACCCCCTCCCCCAGGATGACAGCTTTACACGTTTCATCTTTTCGCTCTGTTTTGTTATCACGTAATCTCCTTTAATCTCAGCGATTTATAGATTACATCAACACTCCTGGGTTATTGTTTTTCTTTTTCCCTCAGTTGTCAAATTGAAAAAAGAAGAAAACCAAATTATAAGTAAACGTCTTTGCAACTGATGCGCCATATTGATGCTTTACACAAAGCTAAAGAGTTCTGGAGGAAAATGAATGCATCAGCCAAGCGAGCCGGTGATTAACTTTACTGCTCATAAGCTCAAGAGGCTCAGATGGTTTCTTAATCCTTTAAGCATTGGGTAAACATCAGCTCTGTCAGGTTCTAAGAAATAAATGTTAGAGCAAAGAATTACACTTGACAGAGTTTTCTTTAAAAAACAAGGTTTGCTTTTTAGAAACTTCAGCCTTTAGCCATCTGCTGGTGACTGCTGCTAAATGGTGACAGAATCCTGCCAACTTAATCTTAAATTCTGGACCTCCAAAGGCGAGATTAAGGGAGTTGGCAGAAACAGTTTATAAGTAGAAATCTGTATCTGCTCATCCTGATATCTTCGTTTAAAGCCTCAGATCCAGGAGTCCTTCAATACTGTTGTATGCATAGTATTATTAGGTATAACATTAGGAGACCCGCCAGTGCTACAAATCTGAAGCAACAGTGGAAAGCTGTGCATAGCGCCACCGGATCAGCTGGTTGATATGACAACTGTTGGGTGACATTGTGTTCCGGTGCAGAAATGCAACAATGCTGCGTTTAAGATTCTGTTTAATTCCAAATATAATTTCTTTGTCAGCTACCTTCAGTTCAGCATCAACAGGCTGCTGCGTGCGTCCGTGCACAGTGGCTGCTGATGCTTTGTGTCGATGCACCTGTCAAGACATCATGGATGACACATGAAGGGCAATGATTTTAATTAAATATTACTGCCTCCCACCTGTATGAAGATTTCTAGGAGAAATGCATCTGACAAAACTTCACTTCATTTGTCTTCCACTGGAGAAATTAGTTTCTTTACTAAAATTTTTGACATTAAAAAGAAAAAATTGTTTAAAATGAGCTGTTAATGTTCAGCAATAACTTGATTTCAGTCAAAATTATGATAATCATTTCTGCCATAATTATTATTAATCACCCAATTATAAAGTGGAGTTAAAAGCCCTCAGAGATCATCTGTATCATTACCGAATTTTAAGGAATTGTTCCTTGGCACGAGGCTCACCTCTGGTAAAAACATCCTTAAAATCTTTTAAGAACATTTCAAGTAATCCTGCTAATTAACCAACCAACCGATATGGCTGCCCTGCAGCCTCTGGTGTCTGCTCTGCTCTCACCTTCATTTTCTCCACTTCTTGGATCAGCAGATGGAGACTTTTTAGAGAGTTTTAGATTCCTTTTTATTGTGTCTTTAGTATAATATTTCTGGATTTAATCCGTACATGCTCAGTGCTGCCACCCTCTGGTTTCAGGGTGAACTGCTTTTTCTGCAAAATTATGTTAAAGAATCCTTTAGGAAATAATGTGTACATCATTCCTTGGCATGAGGAATACCTCTGGTAGGAAAAAACCCCAAAAAAGCTTTAAAATCGATTAATAACTTTGATGTAATCCATAACCTCCTTGGCGGAGTAACAAACGTATCATGAAAACCCGGGTCAGAGGGGAAAGTTGGCATTTTGTTCAGTGGATCAAAGAGGTTTATCCCCCATTGGGAAAACCCACCAAAAAGCAGCTGTCCACCTGATATGATAGTGGAGCATTAATCTGCATTCATCAAGAAGCTGAGTGACCCACGGCATCCTGGAGGACAGAATGCTTTTATTCAAGTTCTAAAATAACCTTTATGGGAGAGTGGCATGGGGGAAAAAAATGCAATTTGGTCCCCAATCTCGGTAGTTCCCTGTGCATCACGTCATCACTTATCACCACAAAAACCACCTAGATGATGATCTATCAAACCACCAACTGGTCTAGGAAGGAACCTTTTTTTTTTTTTTTTTTAGGACAAACAGCAGGACTTTACTGAAACGGGATTCTGCCCAACCGCTTAAATGACAAATCATATTTTACTCTGACCTCCTTATTTTTTTTCTCAGTATGGACTTATACTAATACTTATGACTTTTTATGATCCAGTTTGTGGTAAGCGCTACAAGAACCGCCCAGGCCTGAGCTACCACTACGCCCACTCCCACCTAGCAGAGGAGGAGGGAGAGGAGAAGGACGACATGGAAATCAACGAACCGGTCCTACCGCTGCCTGAGGAGCCAAAAAGTAGGAAAAGAGAATGAAATACTTTCTGTTGAAAACTGCAGGGATCACTAGTGGTGACGTTTTTTTCTCTCTACCTCTTAATCAGCTCCCAAAAAAGGTCCGGATGGTCTCGCATTGCCTAATAATTACTGCGACTTTTGCCTGGGAGACTCTAAAACCAATCACAAGACGGGCCAATCAGAAGAGCTGGTGTCCTGCTCTGACTGCGGACGCTCAGGTGCGTCTTTAGGTTATCTAAAAGCAGAAGTTCATGGTGCATAAAGTTTATGTTGGTGAATGAATCTCTTGATCTGTGAGCACAGGCCACCCCTCCTGCCTGCAGTTCACTCCTGTAATGATGGCTGCTGTGAAGACGTATCGCTGGCAGTGCATAGAGTGCAAGTGCTGCAATATGTGCGGAACCTCTGAGAATGATGTGAGTATCCCACGTTAGGACCGAGCAGAACTCAGAGATCGTTTATAGAGTCTGGGATCTGTTTGGTTTCTGTGTTACACCCTCATGGTGATGTAAAGAGGATTAGCCTCCTGTTTTACCAGAATAACCTAAATAAAAAAGTTTAATCTTTAGAAGAAAAACAATGATCCAAACCAACCTGAGCCTACATTACATATGGATTTTACCAGTTTGCTCATACATGAATCCCCCTTGATAAGGAATGTTTGTTGGCTCTGTTCAGCAGCCACACCTGGCCGCATTGAGCAGAACCATTTTTTTCAGCCACACCTCTGAAAACAAGGGTGCTGAGAAACTTAGCCTGCTAAAATACTCCCACAGCTATCAATAATTCCTGTTAAGATATTCCTAATCAGACTATTACTTTGTTATTGTCTGCTGTCTAAACTCTTTTTTATTATCTACATGAAAGTTGCAAGGTCAACAGTTTTCAGTTTAATAGGTTTTATTGGTGCCAGTATATCGCTAATATCACTTGATCCCATATTTCAGTTCTGAAAGAAAATATTTTTTTTTAAAGGAGAAAAGCTCAATATTTCTACCTGGAATTGATTTAATTAATTTCAGAACATGAGAACAAGAGTGAAGCGATGGAGGAAAATTCCAAACATAGTGGGTGACTACAGTCATATGAAAAAGGTTGGGCACCCCTATTAATCCTAATTATTATTGTTTCTAAATATTTGGGTGTTTGCAATAGCTATTTCAGTTTGATATATCTAATAACTGATGGACACAGTAATATTTCAGTACTGAATTTAGGTTTATTGGACTAACAGAAAATGTGTAGTATGCATTAAAACAAAATTTGACAGGTGCAAAAATATGGGCACTTCAGCAAAAAAGAGACATTAATATTTTGTAGATCCTCTTTTTTTCAAACACAACAACCTCTAGTCGCTTCCTGTAGTTTTTATTGAGTTCTTGGATCCTGGATGAAGGGATTTTTGACCATTCTTCTTTGGAAAACGATTCCAGTTCAGTTAAGTTTGATGGTGGCCGAGCATGGACAGCCTGCTTCATATCATCCCACAGATGTTCACTGATATTCAGGTCTGGGGATCAGGATGGCCATTGCAGAACATTTGAATTGTTCCTCTGAATGGATGCCTGAGTAGATTTGGAGCTGTGTTTTGGATCATTGTCTTGCTGAAATATCCATCCTTCAACTTGCTAACTGACTCTTAAACATTATTCTCAAGAATCTGTTGATATTGAGAGGAATCCATGCGACCCTCAACTTTAACAAGATTCCCAGTGCCAGCATTTGCAACACTGCCCCAAAGCATGCTGTTTAAAATTTTAAAGTGGATAGCAAGTGTTTTTCTTGGAACACTGTATTTTTTTGCCCCCTATGCACAACGCCTTTGTTATGACCAAACAACTCTATCTTTGTTTCATCAGTCCACAGGACCTTATTCCAAAATGAAGCTGGCTTGTCCAAATGTGCTTTTGCATTCCTCAAGCAATTCTGTTTGTGGAGTTCTTGCAGAAAAGACTTCTGTTGCACCACTCTCCCATACAGCTTCTCCTGTTGCAAAGTGTGCTGAATTGTTGAACGATGTACAGTGACACCATCTGCATCAAGATGATGCTGCAGGTCTTTGGAGGTGGTCTGTGGATTGTCCTTGACCATTCTCACCATTCTTCTTCTCTGCCTGTCTATTGTTCTTGGCCTGCCACTTCTAGGCTTAAAATCTGTCCCTGTGGTCTTCCATTTCCTTACTATGTTCCTCACAGTGGAAACTGACAGTTTAAATCTAAGACAACTTTTTGTATCCTTCCCCTGAATTACAATGTTGAACAATCTTTGTTTTCAGATCAGTTGAGAGTTGTTTTGTGGAGCCCATGATGAATCTTCAGAGGAGATTCAAACACGGAGAACAACTTGCAACTGGCCACCTTAAATACATTTTCTCATGATTGGATACACCTGGCTATGAAGTTCAAATCTTAATGAAGTTACCAAACCAATTTTGTGTTTCAGTAAGTCAGTGAAAATTAGTTCAGGGTCATTAGGGGTAAATCATTAGGGTAGCCATATTTTTGCACCTGTGAGATCAACCTCGATTCAATACTGAAATATTACTGTGTCCATCAGTTATTAGATATATATCAAACTGAAATAGCTGTTGCAAACCCCCAAATATTTAGAAATAAAAATAATTAAGATCAAAAGGGGTGCCCAAATTTTTTCATATGACTGTATTTTAACAAAGCAAGGTTAATGAATAAAATAACATTTTCACATTATTCAAAACACATCCTGTCAGTAACAACCTTATAGCGTTTGCTCTACGCCTGCCTTATTTGAATGTTTTCTATCCACACAGATGATCCTGGAAAGGTTGCTATAACACTTTGGGTCTTTTTCTTTAATCAATAAAGACATTTGTGCATTTTTCTTGTGAAAAGCTACTAAATTCATTCTAGTGTTTTAACCAATATGGTTACATTATTATGTAGAAGACCTGAAAAGTTTTTATTGATTAATTTTTTTTTTTAGCCATAAAAGATGTTTCTATAGTTTTGGCACCAAAGTTGGCTGCAGCCCAGGGCCTCATATCTTCCTGTATCATATGTTTGGTCTACTTGGCTTTGCTATTTGTAATAACTTAATGCTGTGAAGTTTGTTGAATTCATTAAACTGGAATATTTTATTGTCCTTGAGGAGATGTTTGTTTTCAGCTTTTCTTATGTGTGTAAAATATCCCAAACTGGATTTAATCCATGAAATATGAATTCTGGCTCGATCTGTTGCAGTTTTGTGCACCTTCAGCCTTTTCGTTTTAGATCGAGTCAGAAGATCAATGTTAGATGATAGGAGAAAGGATATCCTGGAAGGCAGGATTTCATTTTCAACCTGAACAAGATTATCATAACTAACTGTACCTGTAATTGAAGTTGTTAAGGAAGTTCATGAGTTCTACTTGTCTTTTTAAGGATCAGCTTCTCTTCTGTGACGACTGTGACAGAGGCTACCACATGTACTGTCTGAACCCGCCCATGTCTGAACCTCCAGAAGGTAACTCCCATTTATCCCAGAGGTGTTTTTATCCTCCTGAAAGGTACCGGGCCTTTTAACAGAGGACTGTGTAGATTTGGGTGAAGAAAGCATCATAAATCAAGCTTAGTTTACTGCTATAATCGTACAAACTTTGATAAAGCTGGTTATTCATACCGGTAGTTTTCAAAGTGGAGGAAGAATTTTCTAATCCATTCCATTCAATTCAATTATCCTTTATTAATCCCTGAAGGGAAATTCTGTTTCGCTGAAGGGAAATTCAGTTTCTGTACAGCAACAATGGTCCAGTCATACTTAATCCTTAGCAGGATACAGTTTGAGGCTGCAAAAAAAAAAACAGCACATAAGCCAACACGGTAAACGACTTTTGAAGATGGACCAGCTAGAAGAGGGAGTCTGCAAAGTCCCCTATTTCTTGATTGATCAGCTGCATCTTAAAGTGTGCAAAATTGGGCATAAATCAAAAATATCAGCATCATACCTGCGTCAAGCTAATTGCATCACACTGCTGCAGGCGTATACGCAGCCCTATAACGTGACATCTTGCATGTAGGATGAACGTCGAGGAGGAGGAGAGGTAAGCTAAGCAGGATAGACGGGGAGGGAGACGGAGGAAAAAGTGTCCTCCGACGAAAGCCAAAAGATTTTAAAATCCGTATTTTAAAACTACTTTTAATAAAATAATGGTAAACCAACGGGTTTCAAACTAAACTTCTCTTTTCTGACTATATAAAGTAGCGTTTTCATCTGTTTCCACTCAAGGATAGTCTAGAGCAGAGGTCCTCCTTCCACCTGATGTTTGATAAATGAGTGACATTGATGGCAGAGATGTAGAGCTGAAAGAACTAACCCCAGAATCATTGCCTTTTTTCTAAACTTCCCCTGTTCTCATCCAGGGAGCTGGAGCTGCCATTTATGTCTGGACCTTTTAAAAGACAAGGCGTCCATCTACCAGAATCAGAACGCCCCAACATCGTGATGTCTGCTCTCCTCCATAACCCAACCAACCTGCAGCATTACGGTTTACCCCTGAAGACTCGCCTTCACCTCCTCATCAAGCTCACCGGGGGAGGGGGGGTGCTCTGGAAAGGGAAGTATACCTGAGCAGACTGGCCACGGTTACCATCAGATATGACTGTTACACAGTTTGGGCCTCAGATCCAGTCTAATGGGTTTTATTGTTCATCCATTTGCCACACAGCCAGTTTGGCTTCTTAATTTTAAAACGCATCTTTAAAAAAGCCAAACTTAATGTAACCCACTGTTAAAACCACAAGTAAAAAAAAAAAAAAATATTTTTTTATTTAACTTTTATTTAACCAGGAAGTCCCTTGAGATTGAAATCTCTTTTTCGAAGGAGACTTGGCCAAGACGGCACAACAGTTAAAATACAAACAGAAATACAACATAGACAAAATCTCACATAGAGGAAAAGACAGGTCACATAGGGCAGTTACATTTTGGAATTACATGACATTTTAACATGGCCTTAAATTCTTTCAATGGGACTAGATCATTTAAATGGAGCAAGTTTTGCAAATTATTCCAGGACCATGGAGCAAAGTAAGAGAAGGATTTCTTCCCCAGCTCAGTAAAAACCATTGGAACCTGGAAAGAGCGCCACCTGGTGGAACGGAGATGAAAATGGCTGGAATTTAGCTTGAGGAGATTACATAAATATGCCGGCAGTTTACCCAACATGGCCTTGTATAGAAAAATATACAAATGAAGTTGTCTACGTAGACTTAGTGACGGCCAGCCTACCAGTTCATACAGCGTACAATGATGAGTACGGCAATAGGAGTTAGTTAAGAAGCGCAAAGCACTATGGTACACAGAATCTAACAGGTGGAGAGTACTAGAAGCAGCATGCATGTAGACATCACCATAGTCCAAAACACTTAAAGTAGCCTGCACAAGTGTTTTTCTGGCTGACATGTTAAAACAAGTTTTATTTCTAAAATAAAACCCCAGCCGTAGTTTCAGCTTTTTTACAAGTTTTTCAACATTTGGGCAGATATGTGTGTGTGTGTGTATATAATTTTATTTATTTTTTTTTACTTGTGGTTTTTAAACTGGGTTACATTTCACTTTATCTCGAGCTTTTATACCTAAAGTTGCTAAAGCTCTGTGACTGTCCTGTAAATGTACTGATTTTATGGAGTTTAAATTGCTTGATCATAGTGACAACAAACACATTTTATAATATTTATATATTTCTATGGAAAGGATTATATGTGTAAAGCTTTGGGGAAAAAAAGGAATTATTGTCTCTGATGTTAGTTCTTATCTTATTAGTGAAAAGTCCACAACCACATGGCACTGCTGAAATTTAGATCCACCTGATCCGACCCACACAATTTACTGAGACTGTAAATGATTTATTATCTTTACTGCAGAAGACAGGAAATGAATTCCCCTTTAGGTTTATGAGCGCCGCTTCAAAGACTTCAGGTCAGGCTTTTATCTGTCGATCAATCTCGGCTTATCGAGCTGCACCCGGTTATAGTGATGCACTGATATGCACGCTTCCGAACGTTCCCCTCTTTAAAATTGTCTGGTTTTTGTCACGTAAGGAACGAGAAATTAAACTCAGACTTTTTACCATAGTTCTGTATATTTTACACATTTAAAAAAAACGTATATAGGTTCAGAGGAGTGAGAATTATAAAACAACAAAAAACCAAACCTATCACTGTTTAGATCCTGCTGGGTACACTTGGAGCATCTATTCAACCTGCATCTGGTTCTGAATTCATCGTGTAAAGCTACCAGTAAGGAGAATAACGCATGGATTTAATGGAGACAGGGCCGTACGCAGGGCCCAATATATACTGTGGCCAAGAGTCAGAACTCCTAGGCGGGTTTGGTGGCGTCCTCCCCAGAGATGTTTTTAATTCCATTATTTTAGTCTGGCCATTTTCAGAGTCTTAAGGAGCAAAAAAAACATTGTGACCTTTAAAAAGGCTTGGCTGTTCATTTCTCCTCTCCTTTCTCCCCTACCTGCCATTCCAGACATTATAAACCTGATTTTCATCATTCAATCTTTCTTTTGAAGCTTCTATCAAAGTGCTTAGAAATGTTTCATGAAAGACATTCCATTATAATTGAAATGAGTTGCTTCATATTTACTTGAGTATTTAAAATAGACACCCAGACCCTGTTATGTTAATGATGGAGCCTAATGTAACATATTTCTATTATAATCTCACACAATACTTTGATTATCATGTACCCCTTTCCCACTGGCCAAAAAACTTGTTTAAACCCAGAAGAGTCGGCTTTTAATGGAGGTGGAAACAGCTCACTGACTCGTAAAGCGACCGACGCTAAAATCAACGCGGCTCTGATCGTTGTGCTGTGGGAACACCTGACCCGGTTTGACACGCTAAATTACGTGATGAGTTTTAGAGCAACTTGCGTACGTCGCCACATGGCGCCGGTCATGTGCTAAATAAGAAGTCCAAACAACTCTGCTTCTATTCTGGAAACATGGCACAGATGTGGAAGATGGAGATTTAGGAGCTCCTTCTGATCCGCAGAGAAGAGGAGATTCGTCGCCCGGTTTGAAGCACTGTTCAAGTATGCTCTGGCATAACGTATTAATCACATAATGGATGTTGATTAATGGATGTTGACCGGTGCAGACGGAGTTAAATCCACTTTGGTTTGATGTTCCCTTCCTGTCTGAGCAGCTCGCTGGGCTGAAATCTCCTCATGAGAATCCATGTTTTTTCTCACCGTTATCAATAACTTAAACTGCCCCCCCACTTGCATTAGCAGCCCGGAGTTCTCCTCTTCCAGGAGCTGAGAGACTCATGGGTCTGTAGCTTGTGTATTGCAGTTACCATAGCAACGGTGCATGATGATGGCTTACCATGATGAAACAGTCCCGCTACTTTTAGCTCTTCAAATATAAAACACCGCACAATTTAGTGGGAGACCAAGATATATGATACTACAGTCAGTTTACTGTTATTTATTTTAATTTATATCACAATTTTAAAAATAAATACATTTATATAATACTGAGGAAACAACCTCTGTGTCCCCAATGGTAGTTAGGGCCCTGATTGGAGAAAATAGACTTGAATTTAAATTTTTGCTGTGTAATTTAAACCACCAGAGAGGCTATAGAGACCCACTGCAACACTGCAGGAAAATTTCCATGGCTCCCATGTCTGGGTAAAGTAAAAAAGGGAAGGAAACCTTTTCTTCCTGCCTTTTTCAAAATATTTTTTAAACCCAGGTTCACTTCTGATGAAGCAACATTTTTTCAAAGGGAAGGTTTAGGGAAAAAAACACAGCCAAGCAGCCACAGAGAAACACGGTGGTGGCAGTGTGATGATCTGAGGTTGCTTCTCTTTACATGTCAATTTTATTGTCTGCTGCATCCGTTTATGGATCAAATAGTTTTATTATAAAGCTGTGGACAGCAGAGTATTGACGGTTTTATTCTTTCAGTAGAAGTCTCGGGATCTCTGAAACATTTAGTGATTTACATCACTAAAACCCTCCTCTGTAACAGGACTGTGTTCATGTTTAGGAGCCGCTGGCAGTAGCAGCACCAGGCACACGAGGACCGCAGTAGCTGTTGTCGTCGCAATGCCTCCACTTTAAAAAAACGAACCCGTCTGGGAAAGGGAATATGGCTGTGTTTTAGCAGTTAGCCACATCGCGATGTCCAGCAATAATAGAGGACAGGGATTTGTAGCAGATTATGTGTGATACTGTAATGAAGTGATAAAATATCAGGATGGAAACTTTTTGGGCCCCACCTGTGCATAAATATGGCGCTTTATTTTAGAGGAGTCGACCGGTGTGCGTGTTTAAGTAGACTGCTGCTGTTTCCGCAAGTCGAAGGCGGAAAGAGGAAGTGTAGCTGGAGCGATTCTTTTACCTCAGGCAGAGACAGTATTTGAATGTTTAAATTATGTAGATAAAAGTATAAAAGTCAAAGTAACGGTTTTCACTGTCATTTAGTCGGATCGGTTCAGGTATCAGGAGAAGCAGTGTAAAATAAGTTAACCAGACCGTCGGGTCATTTCAGTAGCCAACTAAGCATAACTAAAGCATTACCCCAGAATGACTTTCCTGTAAAGTCCTGCTTTATCTGATCTAGGTAGACTATTTATCTGATCTTTTTTATTTTCAGAAGTTTGGGGTTCTGTGGGTTTAGATACAAGTTGCTTCTTTTCCTTTTTATTTTATTTTTTTAAGTTAATCCTGTTTTGGATCTCCGCTCTCTTCCAAACCTCAAAACAAGATTTCATGTAACTTTTCTAGGAGAGACGAAGAATCCAGCAACTAAGCAACATGTGAGAACGTTTTTGTTTTTTTTATTCATCACATTACAGCCCTGATGTGATCATTATTAGATCATGGTTCTGTTTTTGGATTGGGAGACATTTGTTTGTTACATTAAGTGATGTTTAAATCAAGATCTTAGTTTACAGGTTAGGGGGTCTTTTCTTTGGTTTGGACTTTTATTTGAATTGTGATGAAATGTTTTATTGTATAAAAAAGTCAAAATAAACACTGAGCTCTTTAATCTGTTGGGTTTTTTTCCACATACAAAAACATTTTTATAAAACACAAAAGATGGTTAAAGCAATCATTGAGTTGAATTGTTTTTTACACATTTCTCAGCTCAGTTTTTTTTTCAGTATTAAAATACATATTTTAACAGCCATGAATGGTCGTTACTGATATCAGGATGACATTAAACCCTAACAGGGTTCAGAGTAGAGCTGCTGCTCGTCCACATTGAGAGGACTCGATTCTCTGACGGCTCCTTCAGGAGGAGGCCAGAGGCCGACAGAGATAACAAAAAAAGGTTTTTCTAGTTTAAAACAAGGTTTTCTTTAAAAAAAAAAAAAGTCTAACAAAGTCGTAGATCTAGCTAAAATGTATTTTTAATCTTATTTTAAGAAAAATTGTACCCAAAATAAGTACATTAAGCTGCCAGTGAATTAACACTTTTTAGAACTCTTAAAAGGATATTCTAGAAAATGTAGAGGAAGCTTAGTTCAGTTATCAATCTCAAAACAAGATCAAGAAGACCAGATAAAAGATGGTAAGGCTACTATGGATTTTCCACAAAATCCGTCTTTAACATGGATGAGCTTGGCGTTACGTCCGCTGAACATCCCAGGAACTTCTGACCTGAAGTAAATTCAGGAAAACAGGCTTACAGATGCAGCACCGCTGAACTGAGACGCCTCTCTTCATTAAATGTTTTAGTTGGAAAGTATCAAAGGCTATTTATTACATATTTGACTTTATATATTTTTCATGAAAAACTTACAAATGTCTTGAATTATATTTTTTTCTTTTTCAGATAGTTTTGGAAATTGCATTTTTTTTTTTCAAATTACATTTTGAAGATGACTTCCTCTCCCTTCTGGTGGAGGGCCTTCCTCTGGAGTGAGGAGCAAAGACTTTTTTTTTATTAATCTGCTTAAATGTGAGCAACATTTTTGTTGTCAATGTGTGCGTCGAGTTATTGGCCTCGACGGGAAGAGAATTCCACAACATTCCAGTTTCTTCTGCTGGTCTCGGAAGCAGCAGTCTAAGCAGAGATGTCCAGACTTCCCAATCTACACACACCACCTCCAGATGCTCTGGGGGGACCCTGAGGCGACACCAGGCCAGCTCAGAGACAGAGGCTCTGTTCGAAAACCTGGGCTGCATCCTCCAAGGACGCGGTCTACCTAGACTGGATCCTTTGAAGTCCTTGAAAATAAGGAGACCGGAAGAGTTTTGGCTGTGAAATCGACCAGGTCTACCCTTCGGCTTGTTTTACCGCTGTATGCTCTGTTGCTTAGCAACCGTAAAAGTTGACACACAAAGCAGGAAAAGAATGAATACCGAAGTTTTGAAAGCTGTTTATTTTTTATTATAAAGTGAACAAAGACTACACTCACAAGAATCCAGAGTGGAATAAAGGTTCCAACCACCGGGAGCAGGAACAAAT